GATACTTTGATGCTAACTGGATTTCTGATTCAGATGAGACAAAATCCACTAGTGGTTATGTGTTCCCTCGGTGGGGGTGTTGTGGCATGAAAATCAGCTAAACAAACAATAATAGCTAAACCATGGAATCTGAATTTGTGGCATTAGAATTGGCTGGCAATGAGGCCGAGTGGTTAAAGAACCTTTAGGCAAGTATTCCACTAGGAATTAAACCGACACCTTCTGTGTCAATGCATTGTGATTGCCAAACTGCAATAGCCATTGCCAAAAACAAATTCTTTAATGGGAAGAGTAGACATATCCGATTGAGACATAATGTGATAAAGCAGCTGCTCAGAGATGGAATTATTTCCATAGATTATGTGAAGTCAGAAGTGAATTTGGCCGATCCTCTGACTAAACCTTTAGGAAGAAAATTAATATCTGAAACATCGAGGGGAATGGCTTTTGCCAGTTTGAGTTATATCAACAGTGATGGTAACCCAACCTATGTGATTGGAGATCCCATGAAGTAGGTTCATATGGGTAATAACAAGTCATTAGTTGATCAAATGTGCAATATTAAATTATATCCCTTCCTATGGTGTGTGTATATATAGTGCAGGACTGCAATGAATGGGAGACTGAGTTATTAAACGCTTAATCTAATCCATAGTCTAATTTTAGGTGGTGTACTGCGCTGCAGAATACACTTGATGGATGGACCTATATGAGTGTGGAGTGGGGCCGCTCCTATGAAATTAATGGCAAAAAAAATTCTAGAGCACTCATGAAAACTAGGCGCGTGCATGGCCTATTAGCGCAAAAACGCAATAAACAACAAAGTGTGTGCGGGTATAATATGATAGATAAGACACTAAACTTATAAAAGAATTCTTGGTTCATAGAAGTTCTGAACTTCACCAATTGTTCTGTAAGTTTAATCTTATTTTATCTAGATCTGGTTCATAGTCCAAGAGACACCAGATTCGACGCATTATGCTCATTTATGAAACCCAGCAAAATACTTTATTATTGTATTATTTTTTAATATTCTTTTTGAGATATGTGGGGGATTGATAGAAAAAAATACTTTTGATATCTCAAAAAGAAATATTCTAAAATTATGACTAGATTCATTTATTTACTATTATATTAATGGGTCATTATTATGGTAATTATTTTAAATATATTTGTAATACTAATTTGATAAGTTTGAATTCAATATTTGACAAACAAAATCTGACAATTAAATGATAATTATTATACGTTATTTTTTGTTGTTAACGTATTATTCTATCAAATTGTCTTTATGGTTTACTTTTGTAAGAGAAAAGGCTTACTTATGTAACACAAAAGCCTTTATGGCTTATTTTTGCTTGTTAACGTTTTTTTTCATTATTTGGACGTTACCATCAGATTTGGACGTCACCATCAGATAGTCCATTTGTTTTGAACTATATATATTTATGTGTTTTTATCTTCTAAGTAGTGAAAAAACATAGTTAAACTTTTCTTCCCTTTTCTTTTGTACTGGATTTTCTTTTTAATCTTTGTTGTTTCTGCTCCTAATTATGCTAGAAGAGCTTGTTGAATCCTAGGGGATACGCCTAATAATATTCATCTCAGTGTGGGTGAAATATCTTTAAGGACAGTGTCTTTGACACGCCTCAAGTTAAACCTTTTATTCTCCATAATCATCCAATTTTTTTCCAACAGTAGGCATATAAATTTTATTGAAATTAACTCCGTAAAATAATTTGGACTATACTTTAATTCAAGATATATTAGTTCAAACAAAATTTATTGGGCTAATATAATTGGGTTAGTTATATAAGTCCAATATATATGAATTAAATAAAGAGAAATTTTCAGAAACCACTATGTTTTAGTGATTATTAGCTTGCTATAGCTACCATTTATTAAATTACTTCCTATAACTATGTTTTCAGTTGTTATAGGCTGTATTCGATGTATTTTTGCTATTGTATTCATGAATACAGTAGCAAAACTCGGCGAAAAACAGGGGAATCTACCTAAGCAGAGAATGTATTCGACTGTATTCGCGAGCTGTATTCGTTAATACAGTAACGGAATTTGCGAAAAAAAGGTCTTCAGGTGTTTAAAAATGGTAAGTGAATCAATTAACGCGATAGACTCCTAATATAACTCAACAAACTCAATTATAACACAAAAACTTTGTATTTCCAGTTATAGAAAAGATTCTCAATCGAAAAACACCCAAAAAGCAAAGCAATCTTCAGAGATTCAATCCATCCTTTCTTTTTTTAGTGGTATCTTTACTAAAATATTTTTTAGTGGTATTTTACAAATAGATTTATATATTAAAAATATATAATTACATTGAATACAGTTAAATACATAAAAGTACATTGAATACATGAAGTATAACAGGTCAACTATAGTGCAAAAATATATGAATACATACTGCAGATACATTTGAATACATAAATTATATTAATTAAAAAAATATATATACATTCATGGAATAGAGCGAGACAATGAATACAATGAAATACATAGAATACAGCGAGATACATTGAAATACAATGGGAAAAAAGACAGTGAATACAATAAAATACATGGAATACAACGAGATACATTGAAACACAATAAAAAAAGGTAACAGACTCTTCAAGTTCCTCAGCCTTAAACTCCGTCCCTAATCCACCGATATCCAGGCCATCGCCATGTGGGGCGTCGCCGCCGGTTAAATGAAGACAGTTGTTGAAGAAGCACCAGTTTAAAGGATCAAACGGAAACTAGAGACAGAACTTCTTCATATCTCACAAGGCAAACATGAACAATCAATGCAAAATCTAAGAAAAATTTAGAATGTGTAACACAACTGTGTGAAAGAAATCGCCGGCCGGAGGAGGGGGTTAGGGGTGACACAACAAGGAAGGAGGGACGTGGTCGCCGGCCGGATCTGTCGTTGGCGGAACACAGCCCCTGCTAGGGTTTCTAAAAGTAAGGGAGGAAAAAACCGGGGGAAAAAGAGAAAGAAAGAGGAAAGAGAAAGGAGGAGAGAGGGAGAGAAAAATAATACACAGCATATTTAATGGCTTAAAGGTAGGAAGTGACCATAAATAGATATTTTGCTATAAAAATTAAAAGGTAGCTATAGGAGATAATTTTTATTTATTTATAATAAATAAGGTATCAACATTTTTATTTATTTATAATAAATAAGGTATCAACCTTTACTATAGGAGGTAAAGTTTCCTTAAATAAATAAGCCTGCATCCACTGGGCTAGCCCATTTAATTGGGCTATAAATAATGAGCTCATTTCATTAAGCCCAAGATGTCATCTTCCTAGAGGCCCAGTTTGGTGCTACGTGCCAAATAACGTGGCACGCCAAGTCAAACGGAAGAGTCAATGGGATGATGCCATGTGTCAAAATGACAAGGCATGCCAAGTCAAATTAAAAGGCGAATGAAGCCGCGCCACATGTGCAAGTGACATGTTCTGGCCAATCAAATGCATCCTTGTCACACTTTAATTTGATTGATCGGGAAGAGTTTGTTCTTATCATAACTATTCCCTCCCACAACTATAAATAGGGGTCTTCATAACTCAGAAAAGACACCAGAAGTTATATTAAGAAGCAAGAAAGAGCTCGTGGATCAAATGTTGCAAATTCCTCCACAAGTTTCAAGCTTCAAGCAATCAAGTTCAAGTTTAAGCAATCAAGTTCAAGCTCAAGAACGAAGAAAAAATCAAGTTTAAGCTCAAGAACGAAAAACAAATCAAGTTCAAGCTCAAAAACGAAGAACAAATCAAGTTCAAGCTCAAGAACGAATAACAAATCAAGTTTAAGCTCAAGAACGAATAACAAATCAAGTTCAAGCTCAAGAACAAAGAACAAATCAAGTTCAAGTTCAAGAACGAAGAACAAATCAAGGTTCAAGAAATACAAGATCAAATCAAAGTTCGTGCTAGTTGAATTCGAGATCATCGTCCGTGGCAACAAATATAGATTCAAGATCAAGCTCAAAGCCCTTGAATTTATTTACTATTGGAAAGTAGAATCAGAGGATTCATAGAGATTGTAACACTCAAATATTTGAATTAAAATACTACGATTTTTGCAATATTTTTCGGTCTCGATTATTTTCTCGACGCAAATTTATTGTCTATAGTAACGACGTAAACGTTGCAGCTGATTTGCATATTATGATATATGTCATACTTTTTGTATTATTGATAGTTGAATTATAAAAATTGCATTTCCTCGTTCAAGAAATATTTTACTTCTATCTTGTTAACAAAATTTTATATAGTTAGTACTTACATGAATCTTGTTTTGTGATTTACACACTATGACTTTTTTTCGGTCAACTCTATAATTTACAAACTAATAGGGTATCTGTTAATTTGTGATATTAAGCAACCGGCATGTTCTTGTTATCTTCTTGATCTATATTTGGCCTTTTCCGCTTTCCCTATTTCTTTTTCCAAAACTGAAACTAACAATTCAACCATAAATACGGTGGCATTAGTTATGGCAAAATGGTTAAAAGAAAACAGTTATCCACCCATATTATCTATTAAAATATGGATTGGATAATAAACTTTTTAAAAATACGTCAAATATGAATAAGAACCATATTATCCACTTATAATGGATAACTAATGGGTAACCAATGAGTAACTTTTTCATTTGTAAAGCCTCAAATTGGGTGTTACTCAAGTTTAGGAGACTAGGAATTCTCCCAAAAGTGATCATATTCAAGAAATCGTGGACAATATGGATATACATATTATCCGCCGGTCAACCGGTCAACCTATTTTTTATCCGTATTAAATATGAGTCGGATCGGATAATTATATCCACTTATGCATTAACCGTTTTGACCCGCTCATATCTGACCCGACCCGACCAGCCCATTTGCCACCCCTGTGTCATTCTTGTAACTCCCTGAGTCTGGCAAAAAATGAAGATAAATTCTACTTAAGAGCATTGATCTGATTAAAATTTAAGGACACAGAAGAAATTTTACTTCAAAACCATCTATCATTTGATGTAACAAGTTCAGTACTCAGCTAGACAGTGCATTTTGTGCTTTCAAGTTATGGGTGAAGGTAAGCTCTAGCGATGGTTTTTAAAGAACCTTTATATGCTAGCTGGTGCTAACATGAACTGCATTGAACATGAGGTTTCAAACCTCGGCAAAACTGTCAAACTACATATACAATACAGAAAATATAGTAGGTATGTTGTGACATCATAAAGCAACCTTAGGATGGCTTTTGTCAAACTATATTTTGAATTATTTGCATCCAAAGTCATAGGGAGCTAGTCCTTTCAGCTCAGGTCCGTTGAGTCTGTTGTGCGCAAAACTGAAACAAGAACAAAGTATTACAGCGTTAGGTCTCAGAGCGTGTGCGCAATACATGATCAGATAAGACGGGAAAATCAGAAGGCAGTTGGAGGAGCAAAGGAAACTGAGGCATATGTAGCTTAAATGTTCTATCAAGCTCTCATTGGATAGAACTTTTTTTTAAGACTACAAAAAACGCAATGCAGAAAGCAAAACCTTTGGTTGCTCATTTCACGAAACATAGTTGAACTTACAGTTCATTTCATAAGGTATAACATGCAAAAGAAATTCCTTATCAAAAAACATGCAAAAGAAATTATCTGCACAACCATCATCACGACATTAAGAAGAACAAAAATCTGAATCTACTATTAATATACACTACCGAATCAAAAGATCCAACATGTGTGATACCAGAACAGCTCTCTCTTTTTTGCCATTTGCAGTTTCATTTTGATATTCGAGCATTGCTTGTAGCATTAATATTGCATTCATCTGATTTTAACTAGTCTGAATAGAAAGAGTTTGCAAAGACCAATGGATGGTGTCTGATTCATATCATGCAAGAAGCAGCATCTAATAACAATTGAGGGCATATAGTTGATGCACGATTTACAGGCTAGTCCAGGCACACAAGCGTAACTCCAGCAGCACCAACCGAGGTAGGACTAGGAGGTTCACTAATCACTACCTATCAACTAAAGTCACCAACTACCAACTAATGACTTGACAAAAGTTCGTCATTGCAAGAGGTAATATTATACTTCATGATGCAGGGCTGTGCATTCAGAATCTGCTGCCTATGAAGCATAAGCAAAATTTTAATATGATGCAATTGGTTTATCAATAGATAAGTTCCCCTGAGTAAGAACAACTAAAGGATTGAAGCCTATATCAACTTTCACCAATAAAATGGACAGTTATACACTGAACCATTTTCATATCAACGGATTGCATAAAGCATGTCAGATACTGTAAGGCAAAGAACATCAACAAAGGAAAACAAATGACGAGAGCGCATACCCTTCCATAGGAAAGCTTCCAAAGGGGCCATCAACAGGGATTGTTCCACAAAGATCATTATTAGAAACATCACTGCAACATTGAGATTTAAAAGATTCACTCAAGCGAATTCAACACGGTGCTCTTTGATTGTCTTTTTCTTGGTAAATATGAAGGTGACAGCCTGTTTGATAGTATTTGAAAAAGAACTTACAATACTTTAAGGTTGGGGAGGGTGGTGAGTTCCCTTGGAATCGAACCAGTTAGCTTGTTGTCGTTTAACCGCCTGCAGGTTATATAACATGAAAAAGATTCAATCTTTGTAGAATAAGTGGCTGCTGAAAATTGTCAAACTCATGAACCATTGAATGACAATACTTACAAAAATCTAAGAGACTTCAATTTAGCAAAAGACTTAGGAATGTTGCCTTCAAATCTATTGCCATATAGGTCCATGCTAATAAGATTTTCCAAATTACCCAATTCCTTTGGGATTTTGCCTCCAATGTTATTCCTATAAAGCTCCCTGTAATTCAGGAAAAAAGTATGCCCGTCACCTTAAAGACACACAAGAAAGTAGTAAACTTGCAAGTTAAGAAGCACACAAAAAACTTGAAGACAGAAACAACATTAATCATGTGACAATAATCTATACACATTTCTTTGTCTAACAAAAGCCCCTTTTCAGTTACTTTTTCCACGGTTTCAGTTCAGCCAACAGGAGATACTAAAGCTGAGACAAGAAACAAAAAAACAAGAAAGGAGGTAAAAAGAAAAAATTACAGGTACTGTAGATTCTTGAGTTCACCAAGCTCTGGTCCTAATGTTCCAGAAATATTAGTATTGCCCAAATCCCTGCAAAAAATTCAACAATAAAAAGAATTACTGTACTTATTCATTGCCAATGGGGAACAGAAAACAAAAGAAAAAAGTGACAGAAATTAGGAACTGATGTAGCATCTTACAGGCGAATAACATGATTATTGGAGTCGCAGGTGATATGAAACCAGGTACAAGGATTAACAAGAGTAGGGTCCCAGCTTTGTAGAACATTTGTGGGGTCAGAAAGTCTGCTTCTCAAAGCATGTAGAGCATTTCCTGAAAAATGAACACAACAAATTTTTTTAGGAAGATGAGTCCATTTCAAGATTTAACCTTTTTTCTACTTTTATATAAGTATATTCATTTCGAAATTTAACTAAAATCCCTTGAACTGAAAAAAAAAGGTACTATACACTAATGAATGAAAAGGAAAGAAAACCAAAGAGGGGTTCACATGGTAAAATAAAGCTAAAAGCTTTAAACCCTAGGAATGACAAAAGAAATAGATGGGGTAAAGTTTTAGTGAATTTACCTTCAGAATTTGTGGAGAAAGCAGGGGACAGAGATAGAAGGATGGTGATGAAGAAAAAGAAGAGAAAGGAGGAAGGAAAAGCCATTGAGAGAGAGAGAGAATGTTGGAACAGACAAGTGAAGAAGTAGGCAAAAGTAGAGGTATTAGTAGAAGTAGAACCAATAAGAGTATGTTATATGAGAGGTCAAGTCTCTTCTTTTTACTGTTGGGAGTGCTGTACTGGGAACTGGGAAGTAGTTTAGTTATTAATAAGAGAGAGGTGTTCACACTAATCACTGTGAGCTTTGTACTAAGCAGAGGCTACCTTTCATCAATTCATGATTAGGACTTTTGTGTGTAACAAACTCTCAACTCTCAACCAAAATTTCAAGCTCAATAATATTTCTTAGTTAATTTGGTTTAAATTTTGTTTCTACCTCATAAGTTGGAACTTTTTTATTATTGTTATGTGTATTAATATTAAGAACTACTTACAGGCAAAAGATGAGGATAAAACAGAGTGCCAGCTAAAGGACTTCTCCTTTTCCCCCTTTTTAACTTTATTGTAAGTCAAAAGTTGGATTACATAATAAGTACATTTATGTTTAATGATCGTTTTACAAAAGGTACTCTTTAAAGTAGAAATTAATCTTTTAGTACTAACTTTTATAGTACCCAAATAGATCAAATCAAATAATGATGTCTCAATTTCAAGCTGATTAGATTTGATTATATGAATCTTCTATATTCTTCTACTATATTTGGTGTCCCATGCTGAGTTATTTGTTCTCTGGACTCTGGAGCAAATTTCTTTTTTTTTTTTTTTGGTTTAAAAGACTAGTTCTATTAATTAAGATGCATTATAGGGTGCTGCATGGATGGTGCAGAATTACAAACATACGGATAATTACTACTATTAGTACTATCTATCCTTAGGAAATTACTACTATCTATCCTTAGGAAATTACTATTACAGGTAGTTCGACTAGACAAGACTTCATCGGACGTTTGACAAAAAGTTGTAGCATAAGGTGGTACTTGAAACTATTACTAATATAGTGTCTTCGTTGAAACCCCAGCTTATCAGCTTCTAGGTTTGCCATAACAAAAGGTGGTGGTCGTTCCAAAACGTAATATTGGTCCCCATTAGTTCCATGCCAAAATGAGCTAGCTGGCCTGCTTCAGTGTTGTGCTCCCTGTAAGAATGTTGTAATAGTGGATCACCTAGCTGGTGGATCAGGTACCTGCAATCATTAAGTAAATGTGAGAAAGTGGTAGAGGTGCCATGTAGATTAGTAATTACTTGTGCAGCATCCACGTTCATTTGCAGTGGTGTAAAATTATAAGCTAAGGCTAGTTGTAATCCACGCAACAATCCCACTATTTCAATGTGGACCACTGTAGTGGCTTCTATATTACCTGCATATCCCATTACCCAATTCCCTTTATCGTCCATGATAACTCCACCAAAACCTACTCGAGTATGAGGGTGTTTTATAGCCCCATCCGTGTTAAGCTTAATAAATTGTTTTGGTGGGGGTTCCAATTTGAGGTGTACTGGAATTATAGAATTCTTGGTCTTATTAGAAGTTGTAAGGTAGTAAACTTCAGAGGCTTGATGATATATACTTGAGGGTTGGGTGTTTTTTTTAACATTGTCAAAACAGTTGTTGTTGCGAATTTTCCATAAATGCCAAAGTATAAAAGGAATAAGTGTATGATGAGGTATGGATTTATAGGAGTTGTCCTTGACAAGCATAATTAGCTTTTTAAGCCAAACATGGGAGGGTGTATCCTGGTAAGGAATTTTTTGGATTAAAAGTCCTAGTTGTAGAACAAACTAACATTTTTTAGCATTGACGCATTTGAAGAAGATATGGGGAATAGTTTCTGTTTCTTGGTGACATATAATATAAGTGTTGGATGGAAGGATTCCTAGCTTATGTAGGTAATGTTGTGTGGGCAATCGAGAGTGACTCAACAACCACAAAAATGTTTTGATTTTTGGTAATGTACGCAATTGCCATATCCACCCGTGATAATTAGGTAATTCATTGGATTAAGTTAGCATTTTGTAGCACGAGCTAACTGAGAAGAGGCCTGATAAGGTGTAGCCCCAAATGATATAATCAGGGAGTATTGAGTTATTCTTTGGATTATTGATGTAGGCAAATTCATGGACATTATTTGGTTAGAATTTCCTATAGTGTTGAGTGCTTGTGCGACAATGTTGTGTTGCTTTGTTCGGTTAATGGTCTATGTATGAGACTACAAATATTAAGGCTAGGAGCTAGTCAATTATCGTGCCAGAAGTTAATATGTGTTCCTCTTGTGACCTGCCAGACTAATCCCTGTTGGCAAACTCCCCATCCAGTAGCAATATTATTCCCTATTATGGAAGTTCTTGGGTTTGTTGTGCGTGTTGGATAATATTTGGAGAGAAGAAGGGATGCCCATTGGGCCTGTGGGTTATGGAATAATCTCCAAGTTGTATTTCTGGCCTTAAGTTGTTGAATACCTAGGCCGCCTTGTGTTTTGGGAGTCGTGATGACTTCCCATTTTTTAATCACGTGCATACGCTTTTTCTGTGAAGTGGTTCCCCATAAAAAAAATTGGTATTGTTCTAGCCTATTAATCACATAAGTAGGTAATTTAATCATTTGCATCAAGTGGTTTGGTATGTAGTTTAGGGTAGATTTTATGAGAGTCGCTCTCCTTGCCAATGTTAGGTGATTTGTTTTCCAACCTGCAAGTCTATTTTTAAAACTATCGATAATAAATTGGAAGTCCCTTTTCGTAGGTTTTGATGTAAAAAGAAGAAAACCTAAATATTTGCCAAAGTGCATCCCTTCTACCATATTAAAAGAGAAAAGTATAAAGGATTTTTGAGTGGTTGAACATGTTTTTGAAAAGAAGATTTTTGACTTAGCAAAATTTATATTTTGGCCTGATAAGTTGGTAAAGTAATTGAGATGGTCAATAATGGTATGACAACTCTTAGTTGTTTTTTTGGATGCCAAAATTATGTCGTCCGCAAAGAATAGATGAGAGATTGGAGGAGCTTTCTTGTGCATGTAAGTGTATAAACAACAACTAAGACTTTAGCCAGTTTGGCCAAGCTGCAAAAATCAACTCTTATTTTGAGAAGTGTTTTTTCTCAAAAGTATTTTTGGTGAGAAATTGTTTGTGTTTGGCTAAGTGTATTTTTCTCAAAAGTACTTTTTCAAAAAAGTGCTTTTGGAGAAAAACTACTTTTTTATGCTTCTGCTTCTCCTTAAAAGCACTTTATTTTCTTCGAAAAGCTTGGCCAAACACATTAATTTTGAAAAAAAAGCACAGCTTGGCCAAATAGGCTATTAATCTTACTAGCTCGTAATAGGATATGAATCATTTGCTTTCATGTTCTATAACTTCTATTCTTAGTTAAGTCCATTTTTGATTTCAAGAGATTGCAGATTCTTTGAGAAAATTCCCTTTACATGATTTAATTATTTTTCAAGACGTGATTTTTAGGTTTACTTCAACTTTAGGTCAATTAAAGTGGACCGGAGGGAGTAGTAGAATGCCTACATAAGATACGGTGAAAATTTGCCATCATTTTATCAATTTGTGTATTACTTACACTATCCAGGAAAATGCTATCATTTCTGATATTAGGCCTTAACATGTCACTGGTGAGGAAGCTGACATAACGGCTTGACTCTCAAAATAAAGTGAACAAGTGTTACAAAAAGGTGGTGCAAGATACACGTCAAATAGCTCATTCATAAACAAAACAGAAAAGGAATTTGGGCAAAAGCACAGTTCTGTACAGATTTGCTGCACTCTTCTTCAAATTGTAACCTTCAGTTACACATTCTGAAGCGAAACAAAGTAGCATTCTAACTGTATTGACCTCAAAAAAGAACAAAAAAATTCCATCTAGCACGAGACCACTAAACGAGAATTTACGAAACTAATGGAAAGCATGGGAGAAGAAAAACAAAGAATTTACGAAATTCCTAATCTAAAAGATATCACATAGCCTGGATGATCATCATTCTTTAATCTGTAGCACAAGCAAAATTCCAAGAAAATGAAATTGCTCAGAATTTCACACTTCCTCCACGGTTCTCATCCTCTCCTCTTCTTCAGCCTTTTGCCAGGCAGCCTACAGAAAGAACATGCAAATGTCACAGGAGGCAGTGAAAAGAGCATAATTTTTGCAGTAATTTTGGATTGATTATAAATCATTATATAATAAACAAGGAATAGTGCACTTGCCTTGTCCCGCTGAAGTCTAGATATATGAGGACGCATAGAGTTCCCAAGACTTAAGCCTCCCCAAGCTTCTTGCAACTCTCTCTCCCTCATCTCTTTCCGAGTAACTGAATGTCTTATCTGATCATCATCCTCCTGCTTAACAGCAGCTGTCTTTTCTCTCTCAAGTCTGGACTTGTGTTTCACCAGAATTTGATCCAAACTGCCTTCACTGTTCTCCATTTGTTTACCAATCGTGTCCCTCTTCTTTACATTCATCCAATTGTCTTCCTTTGCACGAAGAGACATTTTCTCTTTTTCAAGCTTCGAAACGTGCTTCACTAAAATCTTATCCAAACTTTCGCAATCTGTTGCACCATTAGCTTCAATCTTTCTTTGACGCCTCTGTGCAACGTAGTCACTTCTTGTTGATGAGTCTTGCATTTTAAGCCTTTGCAAACGATGAACTGGCTTTACTAGGATCTTGTCCAGACTATCCGCTGCTTCTTTGTTTTCATCCTCGATTGACAATGCGCCTGCTGGCTTTGTTGGTTGTTCTCCACAACAAGGATTTTCGTCCACATTTGTATCATGATGTACATTCTGGTCAACATTTTCTTTTCCTACCAATGAGGTAGTTTCAGACGCATTGGCAATCGGGTCTGCAGTGTTTTTCCCATTTTTTGCTTCTTGAACTTCCTTTTCAAGTCTTGTCATATGTTTCACCAGATAATCTTCTAGTCTAGGAACTTCCATTTCATGTTCCTTCTTCCGACCAATTGCCGCAGTACCCAATCTGTTCGAATTCTTGCCCTCGATTTCACCAGTCTTCCTCTTAGCCTCTTCAATCTCTTTCTCAAGCTTCGAGGAATTCTTAACCAGCACACCGCCAAGGTCAGGAACCTCAGATGAATGCACATTGCTATATGATGCTTTACATTTGCTTTTTAACAACATTTTGGAGTTGTTCTTGGCCTCTTCAATTTCCTTCTCAAATTTTGAAGAAGGCTTCTTGAGAATACTTGCTAGATCATGGCCTGAATCTGTATGGCATTCTGAATGAACCACTTTATCGCCAGATTTATCTCGCGTTTGTTCACTTTTTTCCCCAGCTTCCCTCCTGGCATTTTTGGCTTCTAACACCTCCCTTTCAAGTCTTGTTAACCGCTTCACCAGAAACTTATCCAGACTCGGAAGTTCCTCATTTGTCCTGCTTGTCTTCCCATCCAAATTATATCCCTCAACTGCTCCTTCTCCAACGGATAATTCTGATTTGTCATCAGCAGCGGACCCTGAAACATGCGGTTTGCTGTTTTCTGCTTCAGCTAGAGCAGCATTCAACCCACACGTTGCAACTATAGTGGCAAGAGATGCAAGTTCATCTTCTTGCAAACATCTAAGTCTTTCCAGCATCATTTCCACAAGATTTGGCATATTAAACTTTTCACATGCTTGCCTCTTTTGATATTTCCTTTGCACAGATTTTGTCTCTGAATCTGTGACCTCAGAACAAAGGCTCTCAAATTCAGAACCCGTATCTGATTCACATTCTGAAGAGAACTCGGACAGTTCTTGATGATTATCGTCTGTTTCAGGGTTCTGACATATTCTGAGAAGCAGTTCCTTGACTTCATCTTTGTTCATGGAAGGGCAATTAGCAAGCTTAAGAAGGGCAACCTTAAGTGCAGTTGCTACTTGTTTATCCACCTCAAATGCAGTTTCAAAAGATGTTCTAACTGTATGAGTCGTGGGTCCTCCTCCTTTTGCAGGTGACTTTTCTATTTTGTAATGCTTCTGTGAGCAATCAGGAATGTCATACAAGATCACTCCAATAGCTGTTGCAGCTTCAAAAGCTTCTGCAGAAAATTTTTCTGCCTTTATCAGCACTTGTTCTGCTTCTTTACAATCAATCCTGTACAGCAGATACAGAAAGAGTAAGTTCTAGTTTATATGAGAACGCTCTATTTATTCGATCGGATCAACAATGTCTCAATTGCAAACAAGTTAAGATTGGTAAAACAAATTTTATGTACCCAATTTGCACATTTTACTCCAATACCAAATACTAATTAGCAAATCAATTTACTAAAATTTACACTTATCCTTATACAGACAGACAAATCTCTAATCAGAACAAAACAACTCAACTCCTGGCAAACACCAGATCCAACGTAAGTGTAACGACTACACATAAACGAATATTAAAATTTAAAATGCACACCTTGCTGCCTGAAGTATTCGGCACCATGATGCTTCAACAAGTGCAGCCTTCCGAGCTTCCACAGCTCTTTGAGCAGCTTCTCTTACTGCAATTTTTTCCCTCAAAACTCTACAATAGTGGGGATTAGCATCCCCCAAAGTCTCATCAAGTGTTAAGTTCATTCCGTCCACTTCCTGAAAATAACGTAACAGGCCAAAATACTATCAGTACATATCTGTATATTGACAGTAAAAAGAATGCATAAGCATATAAATATACCTGGAGCATTTTTATTTTTCTCTTTAAATAGGAATCCACTTTCTTGCGAGGGAACCAATTTATAGGCGAAGTTTTGCGATGAGGGGGCTTTCTAATTTGTGATGCAGATTTGTTTAAAGAAACTAAATTTGATTGGCCACCTTCTTTCGTTGCCTTAGTCTGCACAATTCCAAAACAACGAAATGAAAAACCAAAACTGAATATACACCAAACAAAGCGAACATCTGAGAAAAAATTTCAAGTCAACTAAATTCGACAGATTCCAAAACAACGAAATGAAAAACCAAAACTGAACAAACACCAAACAAAGCGAACATCTGAGAAAAAATTTCAAGTCAATGTGGATGCTTGTTCATTCGGGATTCTTCTATCTATATTTAGAACTACTGGATCAACTACTCCGGCTTTTAGCCTTTGGAACCTGTGGAACCCAAAAGTCACTCGCCCGTTCAAACTCTTCTGTCCATCCCATCTAAAACCCTTGAATCAGTGAATCCCGGGGATAGAGACCTAGCCCCTGCTTTATTTAAACAGCTAAGATAAGGTCTAAGACCGTTCGACAGGCAACCGTCTTTGATTGCCTTATTCTGCACTATCCGAAACAAGAAAATGCAAATGCCAAAGTTGGAAATATACCACTCAAAGTGACCATTTTTGTGATTTTTTTTAAAAGTAGTAACTAAATTTGACTGGCCAACTTCTTTCATTGCCTTAATCTGCACTATGCATAAACAACAAAATGAAAAACCAAAAGTTGATATCACCAACCCAAGTGAGCATCTAATAATAGAATTTTCAAAGCAAATATTTTCATTTGGCCACTTTGTTTGATTGCCTTGTTGCGCACTCATCAAAAAACAAGAACATAAAGAAACAACGGAAATACAGTCAATACACCTTTTAAAGTGAAGACTTGATATATCATACTATATGCCTAAACTTGCATTTTCATGAAGCCTACTTATCAACTGACTTTTTCCCACTCATGGCTCAATTATAAGGAAGAGTTAAGTTTCATCATTACCGTTATACACACATACAAAATTACATTTTGTTTACCAAGTGGCTAACGATAGATTAGAATCAAGATTAACGTGGGGAGTGGGGGGTCAAATTAAGTCTTTCCCCCTAATTAAGAACAAGGGTTTTGAAAACCCCAAAATCAGAACAGAACCAAATTATAAAAAAACATAAGGAAAATTGAGATAATAAATTAAATTAAAGAGAATTACTTTCTAAGAGCTGGGGGGGAAAACCATGGTACCTTTCCGAGTTTGGAAGTAGCCGTTGCAGAAGCGGAGGGACTGTTCTCCGAACTAGAAACGGTGTGATTCATCGGCTTCTTTTCAATGCAACCCATATCAAAACAACCCAAATCCATTCTCCAGAAAAATTAAGTTAATGGAAATAGAATCTTTATTATGCTTGTAGAAGTAAAAAAAAAAAAGTAACTGATCAAATGGCGTCGAGAATTTGCACTGTTATCAAGTGCTGAAATCTAAGGAGCAGAGAGACAGAGAAATTAGGGCGTTTCTTGAATATGAATTGATTGCTGAAGAAAGAGGGAGTGAAGAAATTGTTTTTTTTCCAAGGAGAGGGTATAGCTTTTGAAGGAAACTATCCGTTACAACCGATCCTTTCGCTCGCAACGGTCCTTTTTTTTTAATATATATATATATATATATATATATATATATATATATATATATATAGTAGTAGTAGTATTTTTTTCCTCTTCTTCTCCTTACAGTTTCATTTAAAACTGAACAAAATAGATACTCTTAATAAATCCAGGGATAAAAAATAAAAAAAAAGATACTCCTAATAAATAAGACAAGGAGTGTGAGATCAGTGTTACAATTTCATAGTGGTCGTAATTTCATTCATAATCAAGTAATTTGCAAGGTTCACATTTTGCTTATAGTTTTTTCTCTTTTTCTTTTGCGTTCTCTTATTCATTATATCCTAGTGTAATTCACTCGATCAAGTCTACTTACATGATATAATAATACTTAATAAATATATAACTCACTTTAGAATTTCGTAATATCTAGTCAGGTTAAGCAGACGATAGATATGGAGGAAATATCATTTTGTATTTTGTTTGTTTTATTATATTATGCATTTTATAGTAACTATAAGATTATTTTTAAGAAAGTTGAGTTACCTCCCTTCCTTTTTCAATCGAAACACTCAATACAGATAGCTCCGGTGCCTCCTGCTTTTGCTCTATCAAGCGGAGACAGTCCTTTCTATCTCTCGGTCTCGGTTTAGCATCACATATCTCTCTAGAGAGCATTTTTTTGTTTGTTTGTTGTAGTGCGGATGTTGAAGTAGTTCCTCTATATTGTGGGTGTTCTCTTATTAATGAAATATAAATCTTACTAAGATGAAGGTAGGATATGCTAAATCTTGATAGCTTTTGAAGAAAATTGTCACGACCCAAACCGAAGGGCCGCGACGGGCACCCGGTGCCTAACTCAACCCAGTACCAACGTAACATATCTTTCTTATCATACTATCATGGGTAAATGAGTCGTAAAGGCCGTCATAAGATAACAGAATAAAACAAAGAGAATACTTGACATAGGACGACCCAACATGGAATACAAACTTATACATGTGACATACAGGCCTAAAAGACCAAAATGATCACTTGTACACTCAGAACATAGGCCGACAAGGCCATACAATCTTTCATATGCATGACATCTGTCTACAAGTCTCTACGAGTACATAAGGTCATAAAAGTCAGGACAGGGCCCCGCCATACCAATAAATACATGTCCAAAGCATACTGACCAAATAGGCAACTCCGGAGCAAGTAGAGTGCACCAACACCTTTCGATGAGCTGATAGCCTATTAGTAGGATTGTCAACTTGTCTATTGGGACCTGCAGGCATGAAACGCAAAGTCCCTAAGCAAAAGGGACGTCAGTAAAAATTAAGTACCGAGTATGTAAGGCATGAAAAGCAGTATATAAAAGACATGAAAGAAACATGGAGTAAATGACTCAACTTGTAAGTCTGAATAGCTCAGTGAATCATGAAACCTTTTTAGTGTCATGTATATGCATATAAATGCCATATCATGCATAGGTATATGCGTACATAACATCCTCAAGCCTCTGAGGGCATTCCTTCATATCATCTCGGCCTCTGTGGGCGAAATTATCAACATATACCAACTGATCAGGTGGTGGTGCGTATAACACCTTTTCTTTTCCCATACCCATATACATATAATATACGCGTATATAACGCCATCTGGTCATGGGCCAGTGTACATGTATAAATGAATGCAATGCATAATGAAGTAAGTCAATAAGATCTCTCGGAATGTCATAAGATCAATATGCCTTCGGATAAACTTTATAAACTTACGTATTTTCTGAGACCCGTGAACAGACGATATAATAATAGGACACATGGAATCAAGAACATAGGCACACCTAGTACTTCTATGAATAGAGTCATTTATGAAAGTTGTGTGTTCGCTCGTTTCATTTGTATCATATGGATCATGCCAAAAGGAAAGAAGGGATAGTCTTAATATACCTTAACCTCGTTGAGTCCTTAATACCTTCTAAGCAACTCTTCAAACAACTCAACTCAATCTATCATAGCATAAGGAGATTCACAATCAGTGCTGAGTAAAGGATAAGTCCGTAACTTAAGCTAGTAGCTCGTTTACGTAAATTCGGCAGCATCTTCCCGTAACAAGGGCCTCTTCTAATACCGTATACCAACAACAACAACCAGAGCAATGCAAGAACATACAAGTAACGATAACAAGACACCATATAACAACAACAAGTCACAACTACTTCACGACGAGCGGCAAGCTCCGATTGGAATCTGTATACCCCATGACTTCTTACTTTAACTTAACAATATCATTAACATGATAATGAAGTCAGTCATCAATGATTCCAGCCTTGTACCATATATTTATAACAAAGAAAACAATCCACAACTCCAACTATCCTTAATTAGCAACTTTATTCACTAGTTCATGTCTAGTCCATCCATTTAACTTAATCAACATCAAGATAACCTTAAGCACATGCAAGAACACAATATGCTTACCCCTACAGTATCTTCAAGTCGAAATCCAAGTTATATTTAGCTTATACCATCCCTTAATAAAATACAACACCATGGAAATGACTTAAGCTGATCTTCACTTCGAATCTCAAGTTTCATATGTTTTTCCCTCAATTCACTTGATAAACATATAGACATGCATAACAACAGAAACCATATCATAATAAAGGTATATTCTCCAATTTCCAGCCATAATAACTGTATACGGTAAAACCATGTGTCCCCGATTTTGTAGACTCGAGGGCTCGCATCGAGGAGCAAACTCGATATAGGTCAAGCTCGAGCCCGATGACAGAATACAAGGCTCAAAGATCGAAGTACACGATGAGCACCGAAGCCGAGTATGCCGGACCCCGAGATGATGTTGTTATGGGTTTGTAACAGAAAGAGCAAGATTCCTGCTACATCCCCAAGATCATGGCATAAATTCCGGAATAGATTTGTAGGAGTTAGTACGAATCCGTAATAGGCGGTTAGACAGCTGTCCCAATAAGATTCCTTACTGTAGATAGAAATGTACCTTATTTAGGGTTCCCCTACTATATAAAGGGGACCCCAATCATTTGTAACCATCATCAATCATTGGCAAAAGAATATACTCTCTTACTTTCTTGCTCATTATTCATCAGAATTGTCTCTTAACTTTATTGTCTTATTTTATTGTTCTTGTGGACCTACCTCGAGGCCATCACAGCTCGAGGTCAAGATTGGCTTAAGCACTGGTTTGATTCAACTTATATTCTTAATTTATACGTTTGATCTCTTGGTTATTAATTAGTATTGAATTAAATCACGTATCTTTAAAACCATAAACAAGTTTAATTGTTACTCGTATTTTCAAGGTAAACAGCTTGGCGCCCACCGCGGGGCTAAAGATAATAGTGGTTATTTCTGTACTGATTCTGATAACACACATTATTTTCACACTTGTTCTTGTCAAGAATTTCTGTTCTCAGGTTAAAACATGTCAAAGTCACAAAACGCACCCGTACACGGCGATGATGGTCTTGGATTTCATGGGAAAAATAACAATGTAGGAGTCGGTGTACCACCGATTAACCCTGGGGAAGTGCCAAGTGTGGAACCAGTCGATGTTAGTTCACACATTGCTTTGAATGCGGATTTAGGCACAGACCCCAGAGGAATTGTACGCAGGGAAGTCCGATTTGGTAGCCAAGGAACACAGGGTATAGGAGATGGGGGAGTTAGCCTCCAAGTAATATTCGAGATGGTACAAGCTCAACAGGTTGCTATCGCTCAGTTTCAAAGTCAGCACAAAACTCCAAGTGTGGTCGAACCAGAAATCACTCGCCATATTGAGCCGGTACCGAAAAGATCAAACGGTAATGGCTCGAGGACTGATCCCACGATTATGAGGATGCTCGAGGAACTCACTAAAAGAATCGGGTCGAGGGAGAAAATATCGAGGATAATGAAAAAAAGTGGAGATGTATAACTCCCGTGTTGATCAAATACCGGGGGCACCCCCGGTCTTAAAAGGTTTGGATGCCAAAAAGTTCGTACAGAAGCCGTTTCCTCAGAGTGCGGCTCCAAATCCCATTCCTAAAAAGTTTCGTATGCCTGATATACCTAAATACAACGGGACGAGTGATCCTAATGAACACATTACCTTGTACACTTGCGGGATTAAAGATAACGACTTAAATGATGATGAGATCGAGTCGATTTTGTTGAAAAAAATTGGGGAAACTTTTTCAAAAGGAGCAATGATTTGGTATCACAACTTGCCACCGAATTCTATCAATTCGTTTGCTATGTTAGCAGACGCCTTCGTGAAGCACATGCCGGGGCCATAAAGGTTGCAACAAGGAAATCGGACGTTTTCAAGATAAGACAAAGGAGTGATGAGATGCTAAGGGAGTTCGTATCCCGATTTCAAATGGAGCGAATAAAATTACCATCGATCTCGGATGATTGGGCCGTGCAAGATTTTACACAGGGGTTGAACGAGTGGAGTTCAATCGCGTCACGGCAGTTGAAGCAAAATTTGATCGAGTATCCAGCTGTGACTTGGGCAGATGTACATAATCGTTATCAGTTGAAGATCAAGGTCGAGGATGACCAGCTGGGAACCCCGTCGGGCATAGTTCATCTAAATAGATTGGCAGTTAAGGCCCTGAGGGATACAGACAGGGAACCAAGATCAAATAGGGAACGGTACTAGCCATATGTCGCGGATCGAAGAAACAACGGTTCGGGGCGCAATCCTCCTCGGAATGATCGAAGAAACGATCAAGGACAGAATTCTCGGGGACTTATGAGTAAGAATGGTTTTGATAAACATACCGATCCCGTAGAAGCACCTCGATTGTCGGAGTATAATTTCAGAGTTGATGCATCGGGGATCGTATCGGCTATTGGAATAATCAAAGACACCAGGTGGCCCAGGCCTATACAAACCGCTCCTTCTCAAAGAAATCCAAACTTGATGTGTAAATATCATGGCACAAATGGCCATAAGACCGAAGACTGCAGGCAGCTGAGGGAGGAGGTAGCTCGA